TCTGTATATCAAACTCTTTCAGAAACCTAAAAAAGATTTCAGATCAGTCACATGGTTTGGCCGCCATCTTGGATTTTAGGCAAAATTGACCAACAGTTTGGGCATTTGTTTCTCAGAGGTGATTCAACCGATTAACTGCTGGTTTTGAATATAACATGCCTGAACATTGCTACATATGAAAAAAATAATATATTTTCGATAAGTCACGTGGTTTGGCCGCCATCTTGGATTATGTGAAAATGAAACTTGTGCAATTTCATGTGTTGTATTGATCAGGTTTGGCTGAAATTGTGTATGTCAATTCTACTCAAGAGTCGCATTCTTTTCCCTGAATGTCACACGGCTAGGTTGTGTGGCTACGCGCCCATGGGGTGGGGGCTTCTAACCTCATTAATATGCATAACTGCTATATCTTGAGCACTGTTGTAGTTAGGAAGATGAAACCTGCTGAATTGTGATGACGTTAAACAAGAGATTTGAATAAAATAACAGATGACCATATATGGTCAGGTGGACTCATTTATATGCATAACTGTTATATCTCAAACACTGTTGTAGTTAGGAAGATGATTCCTGTGTTATCATGACAACAGTGAACAAGAGATTTGATTAAAATAACAGATGACCATATATGGTCATGTGAACTCATTAATATGCAAAACCATGATATCTTAAACACTGTTGCAGTTAGGAAGATGAATCCTGTGTTATTATGACAACAGTGAACAAGAGATTTGATTAAAATAACAGATGACCATATATGGTCATGTGACTCATTGATATGCATAACCATTATATATTAAACACTGTTGCAGTTAGGAAGATGAATCCTGTGTTATTATGACAACAGTGAACAAGAGATTTGATTAAAAAAAAGATGACCATATATGGTCATGTGAACTCATTAATATGCAAAGCAGTCATATCTAAAACACTGTCGCAGAGCAGGACATGTAACTAAGTGTCATTATGAAGACATTGAATGAAAGATGTAACTGACATTAGAAATGGCTATATATGATTATGTAATCTCATTATTAAGAACATGGCTCATTATATATCCTGAAAACCATATTTCGATAACCAAACCAGGTAAATACATGGTACCAACTTCATTTTGACCTCATGTTACTGATAATTCAAGCTACCTGATTGTCTAACATGTGACCACATTAATTATGAAACAGAATCTTGTCAGCTTGGGCCCCGGTGACGCCGCTTGCGGCTTTAATTGTCAATTGTTTTTATTTTCGTAAATAGAGAACGTAAATTTGTAGACATGGGCATGTTATAAATGTAATCAGCTAATTTAATCGTCCGATTTTTTGTAAGCATTATAAAGCATTTTCCATATTAAAATTAGGATTCATAAACACAAAGTATATCAATATATCATAAGGATGTAATATGTAATTAGGAATTTGCTTTATCTGTAAAGTCTAAAAAAAAATATTTTTTTTACTGTAAATGGAACTTTTAATTTTATTTCCCGTAAAAACGTAAAATGCATTTTTTTATTTCCTGTAACCTGTATTAGCTACTACCTCCCTTGGCCCCTCTAGTTTGAAGCGATCACAGGCGGTCGCATAAAACGATTAGGAATTATTTTAATTCTTTGGAATGCATTTTTCATCTGGGGTAGGTGAATAGAACCGGGACATCCAAGCTGAGAACAGTCTATTGCGGGGAAATGGGCGTCCAGGGTGGTGTTGTGCGTGTGTTCGGGGGGGGGGGGTGTCAAAGGCCATACCACGTGACGGAAGGATCAGCACCCCATAGTAGCGCATTCCATGTATATGGCGAAGACGTCTACTATAATGAATGATCGAATAGTATACTGTACTTTTTGTTATATTCAATAATTCAGAAAGACTACAAGACTTCCTGCCAAGGACTATGACTACCTCTAATCAGGGAGCTGTAATGAGACACAGCTCCCTGCTCTAATCACAGTCCCTCTATCCCTCTAGAGGGACTGTGCTCTAACCATGGAGCGAGAAAGGGAAGGAGAGAGGACGCTATTGTTGCTGCCTGTTCCATGATAGTTATAGTTTATTTGCTCATTAGATAGTTTATTTACTCATTAGATATTGACCACTTCATTTATCTTAATCTTATTACGAGATTAACGGGGTTTAATCTTCTGTCAGTTAACTTCGTGGCTGTCCGTATACGTTCGGAGACCATATCAACCCGGGTGAGCATGCGTACACACTTGAAAATGGCGAAGCAGGAAGAAGGTTGTAATTATTCGAGCGAGTATTTTGAGGATTATGCTGAAGATTGGGGCGACGTTGAAAGTATCGAAAAAGAAGTGCTATTTAATAACAAATCATTATGTATTTGTGGTGGCGACGAGACTGAGTTTATGATCGCATGCGATGAAAATGACTGCACAATCTCTTTTTACCTCCATGCTAAAACCAATACAATCAACATCATTATAACTTGATACATTTGAAAATCTCAGACATTAACCTCGCCCTCTAAAGTTACAATATCACATAATAAATGACTCGTACAATTTGAACATTAGCCAATCATAGACATACATAATAATTACATAATTATTAATAACATATGAGACTGACATTCTAAATACCGATAACCTATAAACTTGTTATTGAAGTATAGACTGACTCTGGCCAAGCAGGGTATTACAAATCTTCTGGTTTCAAAAAACTACATGCAAGAAAAGCGCCCCTTAGTATAAAACCGAGGTGAGTCCCTAGGGATACAATGAGTTCATGGGGGTATCTTAGCTAAAACGAATACAAGCATAATCTTGTGCATGTCCTCACTAAGCGGTACTGTCAAACCACATATCATAGACAGGGTTATATCCATCCAAATTATTTATCACATAGGCATGAAAATACATGGGGTAACGACTCGAAGGTCAAGACTTGGATAAGGAAATAATACTAGCCGATTACATAATATTCTTTGGTTATCCGCCAAGCCACTGTAATATTCATGTTTTCAGTACCAAGGGCGCAGGGATTGTATGGCGGTTGTTTGTACTATTGTCAAGCTCAAGGCATACTGATGTATTTTAAACTCAAAACAGTGTTTTAGTCTTTTATCACTTTATAAATTATTACAGGACCAGTTGTTAAGCAATAATCACATTTTTTTGGTGGTCAGTAGAAATGAACTTTTACACACCAGCTCAATGGATGGCAATATTTTGGTTAAAGCAAATGATTTTGTTTCCAATTGATAGGCATCATGACATGCATTGAGAATTCAAATAAGATACGATTTAGCATTCACTGCAGGGCAATAGTAATGTAGTTTACATCCATCATAAGTATGGTCAGGACATTTGACATTTCTTGTTCAATTAAATTAATATGCACCTAGGATTTTCAAAATTCAAAGCCAATTTGGCTACTTTTATTTTATCGTACAACTTCATACAGGAAACATAATACAAATAATATACACAAAGATGGGTGTAACATGGCCTCGCTTAAGTACAAGTACTAAACTAAGATATTTTACATGTTTTTAAGTAAAGTACCACACCATCATGGTCTAATGTAAACAAAGCATTAAGTCAATGCTTTGGACATTGCCATTCTTTGAATTGACCAAAAGAATAGAGAACAAACATATGGTTTTCAGCTTATGTGCATTAGCATAGGGTTTATAATAAAAAATAAAAGTCTAGGTATTGGAATGTTTCAAAATAAATTGCCCAATCACTTCAACTTTGTTGAACATTTAATGTTTTTTGTGCTTGCCTGAAAGCAGAGAGAACTCAATACTGGGATGGATGGTGACACAAATCACTGTAAATTATCCATAATGCATTACAGTACCAGCTGATGTACTGTAAACAAAATAATTTTCACTGCTTGAAATATTTTCAATTTCAAGATTTTATGGCAAATGTAAAAACAAAATTTTGTGAAATTCACCGAAAATCTTAAGAAATTCTGAAATTTGTTTCTCGTTAAATTAGACACTTTACAGTACATAGCATAATAAATTAACAATTTCTGATTGAATGGACAGTAATGGTGGCACCATAATCATTGCAAAGCATGCATTCCAATTTTGTGAAAAGAATGCACTTTACATGCATTGTATACGTAAATGGGAAACACAACTCACTACGATATGACTGCCGCTTTAATGGGGTGAACACAAAATAATATGGCATACAGCCAAAAAGTGAATAAAGTGATTTACAACACCATTTAAAAATTGTGTCATAAATAATCACAAATACTGAATAATTTATATGATTGAAAATGATTTGACAGTCATTAAGTTGAGTCCTATATTTAGGTTTTTCTGAAATTAATAGGAATCAAGAGAAGTTCAGCATTTACAACTTGAGATTAAAATTGTAGTTTAATCTATCACACTTGATAACATAAAAGCAAATGAAACTTATTTAAAATAGGTATAAAAAATATTACATACTGATGAGAGGATCCCTGTATTCCAGAACAATGATAATTATGTCACATAACAAAGATTTGGGTGAATGATACACTTTTGTTGTTTTGATAACAATTTTGTTGGTCATCTCAAAACCGGTTAATAGTGCAAACATATCTGATAAGTCAACTATGTACAAGAAGTGTTGCTATGACATGGGATAGGGAAAGATATAGGGCATGTTGGATTGAATGACTAGCATTGATGTTTTAATGGCAGTTGAACCAATTTTAATAGATAAGATTGAATTTTACAATTTTTATTAAAAGTTGATAGAGTGTAAATTGCATACAGTTATTTAACTCTATCAAAGAGGATGGTTAAATTGGAAACAAGCCAGTATCTGTTTTTATGTTACTCCTCTTCACCTTCAGCTGGTGGCTCAGCAGCTGGTTCTTCTGCTTCTTCTTTTGGTTCTTCTTCTCCACCTGCTGTTTCAGGTTCCTCTGTTGTTATAACTGGTTCTGCTGCCTGTAAATTACAAAATATATCATATATTAGTATCACTGTGTATACAAAAATAACAGGAGTAAACTTATATCATGTTTCCAAAGAAAAGGTTCAAAAGGAGCCCTATCATCAAGACAGCTTGTGCATCAAGTTTTAATTTAAAATGTGGCTCACTTTTTAGCATGTCTGAACGTTAACAAACGTTTTGGTCTTTTTATTTGCATGTGCAGCCCATGATAATTTTGAACAAGGAGCCTGTCGGATGAGATAGCTGTGCTGTGCAATGCACATTTCAATTAAATAACAGAAGATATCATTAGAAAATGAACAAAACGGTTTTTAACAAGAAGTCAAAAATATCAATTTTTACCAAAAATATTCACCAAAATTAGAGAATTGAAGGAAACATTATGAAATGAACAAATCTAAGAGAGATATATCCAAGGTATCATATCATTCAGGCTTGTAGTTTTCAAGAAGAAGTCGAAAAAGTAAAAAGTTGACACGGACGATGAACACAAAATAAAATTTGAACCTGGATGAAAAGGCAAAATAGAGAAATTCAACACTTACCTCTGTTTCTTCTGCTGGTTTTTCACTTTCAGTGGTTGGCTGAGTTTCACCATCAAGTTTTTGATCAACCAATGCCTGTGCTGTTTCAGTTGCTCTCTCTTCATCCATTACAGAATGGTCTAGTTCAAAATATGCTGCCATACGTTCTTTAACAACATCCCTGATGATTGCTATTGATAAGAGAATAAACAAATTAATCAGACAAGTGTAAAGGTCGAGTGGTGGATCATAAATCGTATCAATACACATTGTTAGTCATTTGAATGGGTCGGCTAGAAATGCAAGTTAAAATAAACTGTTATGATTTCTGTAAATATGAACAAAAATAAATTTTACTTACAATCAAGAACAGTCCGTGACAGTATTGATTTTCCAAGTTGTTTTTCAACTTCATCCATAAGCCATGGCATAAATCCAGTTTCAACATCCCTTTCCACCGGATCATAGAAATATCCATTGTCATTAAGAGTACCAAACACGGAAGGTACAAGGTCTGCCAGATAGGCCTGAGCAAACGCCCTTGCAGCAATTTTATCTGCAGTTTCTCTTTCTTTCTTTAGCACCTCTCTCTGTTGCATCATACGTCGTTCCTGATAAAGAAAAACAAGTGCATACACAATAAGGTTCTGTAAAATATTCTAAAAGCTGAGATATACTGACTGACAAGACTTCTAACAATATGATTGTTTTTCTACAAATCTAAAGCTTACAAAGTTAAAGCAGTTATTTAATATTTTTAAATAATTGAAAATATCATCTACCTTTTCTTCCCTGTGCCTCCTTTCTTGCTCCTCTAACCTCTGAGTTTCCACAAGTTCGGCATTTCTAAGTTCTTCAAAGGCACGTTGTTGAGACCTTAGATTGGCAAGTTCCTCTTCTTCCATTACTTCTAATAACGCTTGTTCTACCGTTTTACCAACTAAAACTTCTAAGATAGGTTTGACTTCAATGTCAAAATCAAACAGCTGTAAATAAAATAAAGAATTATTTCATTTACTCATGTTTTCTATTTAAACAATTCTGTGTGTTGAAATGTTGGAATCTGATTTTTTTTTTGGAAACAATATTGAACTACTGTGAAAACCACAAATTCACAATCTCAATA